ACATAGTATATCTAGACCGAGTGTTGAGAAGTGGGGGCCAAGGTGCACGTAGAAAAGGACATACTCTGTTTCGTGCCCCTTGCGTTCTCTCTCGCTCGCACATAGCATAGCGCTCTCTTTCGTCATGCTACGTGCGAGCGAGAGAGAACGCAAGGGACACGAAACAAAGTATGTCCTTTTCTATGTGCACCTCGGCTCCCACTCCTCAACACTCGGTCTAGATATACTATGTCTATGGCGAAAAAGCAGCGCAAGCGGGGGGATTCTCAGTTTAGGGAAAAAACAGCTAATTTAAGATAGCGGAAATCTTAGAATAGAGAATCTCAAAATAGAGAAATTGTTTTTACAATGGTAGCACGATAAAAAGAGACATGGCACCTTTCCCTCTCTGTCGCGTTGTTGCTGCTTCTATCGCATGTGATACGAATTCTTCTCACTAGGAATTATCGATGATATTTTCATCGTCTTCATTCTACACTTTATGTCGCTTGTGTGTGTTGCCAGTCATTATAATAGACATCGATAATATAATGGGAAAAACCTGATTTTGTAAACAATGTCAAAATTCAACGGATTACTCTTTCTTTACTCTTTATCGGCTGTTATCACTTCAGTACGTAGTATTTTAATCGTTTATCTTTTAAATACATTCTTTTTCTCGCTATTATTTATTTTTATGCATCTTGATAAAGGTAAAAAACTTCTATAATTTATTCAGAAATATATAATATATATTTGTCATTGATTAAACTCTGTCAACTTTCCCTATCTATATTTTTAATTTAAAAAGCTGCATTATATTCTTTATTCCCCTTTTAACAAGACTCTCAATTAAATTGTTGTCAAGTAAAAAATGATTAATTGTGTATACCTTACAGGCTTTAACTGTGAATTCAACTTTTTGTGAAGTTTCTGATCATAACTTAAGTCTTCTATATAAATTCACAAAATTATCATCAAACAAAGAAGATATCATTATCAAACAAGATTATCCAAATGAAACAATTCGTATGCAATTATGTTCTCCATTGATAAAAAAATGCAACAATCAAGATGGATATGCAATATGTCTAATAAAGAATAACACAGAAAAGGGAATAGGTAATTTTGCTAAAAGTTTATATCTTATCCATTGCATTACATTATGAGTTTAAAAGCATTTGATTTTATTTATATAAACAGGAAAATTTCCTCCGGAAATTGATAATAAATATGGAAAAATATTATTTAACTTCATCGGTGATAACTGTTCACTTGGAAAATATAAAGTGCATATTATTATGCAATGTAATTATGCCGCAGAAAATAATTCGTTTCCTGAGTTATTTCCACATGTAAGTAGTTAATTTCTTTTCTAGGTATGATAGAGAAAGTACAAATATGCTTATTGAACTATATAACATACTGAAAAGTGCATAAGTGAGGATTCTGCTCAATGATTTTAAATTGAGAGAAATAATTAAGTGATGATGTTGTTTCTGTTTCTATATTGGAGAGCAAAATGAAATGTTACAGAGATAGAAAACAAATCAGCCGTTAGAGATTGGTTATATTTATGATGATTCTTCTTCTAGTATGTTATATAATTCAATGACTATAATATATAAAAATGAAATATATGATAATGAAAATATTTCTAGGAGGACGAACAATGTGACTTATTCATGGTATGGACGACGGCGTTAGCTTGTGCACCAAGATTCCAAACAAATTGTACAATTGTCAATAATGGTTATCATTACGATTTAAGTTCCTTAACAAGGACTTCAAATAATTATGTTATTCATATTAGCGAGAAGCAGTCACTTAAAATAGTGTTAAATGTTTGTCAATCTATAATACGTCAATATCGTGCTACGTGTCCAATTAAGACGGGCGCTTGTCTGGAAGATCGTGAGAAATCAAATAGGTAGATTTGATCTGCAAATATTTAATCTTTTATTAAAATTAAATATAATACATACATATATATATATATATATATATATATATAAAACACACGCTAATATACAGTGTGTCCGATAATAATCGCATCATCTCTCGCATGCAGGTAGAGCAGATTAAGACGAGTAGGAAAGTCCTCTACCGTTTTGCGATTTTCGCTTTAATTAATGAGAAATTAATTTTAAAAAATTGGCCAATCTGCACGAGTATAAGTGCGCGGCGAGAAAAGATAACTCAATTACATGGTTGTTAAGTGCGCGATGTTGGGACTAATAAGCATTTAATTATGTATCGTGCCTAGTAATCGCATAAGAGTGGACTGTCTCTTCTTGCTGCATGCTTTATATACTCGTGCGAATTGGCCGAATTTTTAAATTAATTTTAATAATTGCGAAAATCGCAAAACAGTAGAGGACTTTCCTACTCGAATACTCTGTATAATCATGTTTTATTATACACAAATGTATAACTTTTTGATGTAATAGCACAATGTAGTTAATTTTTTTTCAAAGAATAGTAGTTTGAAGTTCTGTACAGTTTCAGATATTCGAGTTTAGGAGAAGTACAAAAACCTCTTTTCTTCAAGGATGGATATTTACAAATAGAATATCAAGATGGTGCGATGTGCACCGAAAATATTAGGACTCCACATGTTAAAACAACCATCAAATTTGTGTGTCATTTGGAAGCCAAGGTATAACATTAGATTTTATATACAAATATAATATACACACACAAAATATAGTACACATATTAATGAGATACATTTGAAAATATTGAGATATTGTTATCGTACAGGAGACTATTCCAGAATATATTGGAGGAAGAGATAACTGTCATTATCAATTAATATGGTATACTGCTGCTGCGTGCAGTATTGAGTCTCTACATAACTACAGTGTCAAAACAGCAGGCAACTGCTCTGTTACGAATCCACTCACGAATTTTACGTAAGAATTCGATTCCTCGATCTTATGCGCGATTAATACTCATAAATCTATAATATATTTATATGATTTGACTGTATATTTTATCATACATGTACAGATATAATTTGCAGTCATTGATGAACAGAGACTATACCGTCGTAAATACAAGCGGTATAAAATACAAATTCGGAGTATGCAAAGCACTTACAGATAACGCATGTGGAACTGAAACAGGTACTATATATTACCAATCGCGTATTTCATGATTATATGATGAATCTAAATTTCTCTCACCAAATTATTATTCTTACATACAGGAATATGCAATTCAAAATACAATACATCATTGGGTCAAGTTAACACAAATTTGATATGGCAGCAGGGTGGCCCTTATTTAAATTATACTAATGGTAAATTATGCGATAATGGACTGCGTCATTATACAGTTATCGGATTTTTCTGCGGACCGGAAGGATCGTCCAATCAGCCGTTGCTTATGGAAGAGTATCCTTGTCAGACCGTTATACACTGGAACATAGATCTAGCTTGTGAAAAAAGAGTAAGCATATCTATGTGTTGTATAATATTTTTATTTTGTTTTTTTACATAATGAAGAATTTCTTTCTGTCTAGATTAAATGTGTAACTAATAATGATGATGAAATTAACTTAACTCCTCTTATACAATCTACAAATAATTACATCGTAAAAGCCAACGGTACTGAATTCCATATAAATATATGCCGACCGCTAGTCCCCACTCGAGGTCTTACATGTGCGCATGGTAGCGCTGCTTGTAAAGTTTCAGTAAATTCAAAGAATGAATATACCAATGAAACCGTGAGTACAAATATGATAATGATGAATTTAAATAGTTATCACAATATCGTAATTAAAATATAATGTAAACATTTTTATAACAGTATTTCAATTGCTTTTATTAAAATAATGATTTAATAGAGTTTGGGATTTCCTGAGGACAGCCCCACATTAAATAAAGATCTACAAATAATATTACGTTATATTGGTGGATCACAGTGTCCAGAGAATCCAGTTAAATCGATATCTTCAAATTTCACATTTGTTTGTGATAATAATAATCAGGTAACAATATGTACAAAATATATACAGATTTGCTTAATCTTAATCTTTTAATTAGAAAATTCTTTGATATGAAATTGATTTTTATCATTAAAAAATTAATATCTTTATAACTAAATTCTCTAAACTTAATATAAAATTATGTAAGGTCTATTTGAGAGAGGATAATAGTTTTAATTTAACTATTCCTTCAAAATTTACTTCTCAGAAGGTCTCTTATTAGTGTCTTTATAATTTTAGGTGCATTGATATTTTAACTACAAAGAAATCAAACTTAATATAATAAAGAAATATTATTAAGGTTGAAATCAACAAAGTTCAGAGAAATATATTTATATCTATAATAGCGAAATTTTAAAAACAATACTTTGCTAAAGTTTTTATATTTTTAGGGACTTCCAGTATATAAAACTTATGTTAATTGTACTTATGTATTTGAATGGAATACCAGTATAGCATGTGGAGCTGTGATAGGAGGCTGGACGCCACCCTGTATTATAAAAGATGGTTTTCTATCGTACGAATATGATCTTTCTTTGTTATATAAAAGAGAACAGATATATTATGTGAGTCTAAAATATATTCTACAAAGAGAAATTTCAAAACATTTTGAATATAGTATATCATTTATGTAATTAAGCATATTATTCAATTAAATTTTTTTTTACTGATATAAGGCCAACTTTATACTTACTATATATATTCAATTATTTCAAATATCTCAATTGTTTAATCTCCTAAATTTTTAATGTTGCCTTATTTGTGTGCACAACAAAAAAAAAATATATATATATGTGTATGTGTGTACATATATATAGTGTCTACTAATGATGACAACATAGACCAGCAAATATTATCAGAAATAAAATTATAAATCGTAGGTGAAAGGCAAACAAGGCAAGGAATACAGTATAAATATTTGTGATGGAGAAAAATATTGTAACGGATCCGCTGTATGTAACGGAGGCAATGGTTATGGATCACTGAAAAGTGTGGTTTTTGATTACAGCCGAGATGACGTAAAGCTCAAATATTCAAATGGCAGTAAATGTAACAACAGTAAGTTATCGATTATTTCGTTTTTCATTAAAGTATTCATAATTCATTTTTCAATTGTATATGTAAATGTATTTTATATTCTAACAGGTTCCTACACATCTGAAATAAGATTTATATGTAACGATTCCATAGGCATTGGTGTACCAAAACTATTGCTGGTAAGTGAAAATTATTCAGAATTTTTATTCAGTATGCACACACAATATTTTCCAGCAAAAAACAAGAGTAATTTTTCAGAGATAACGCTATAAGATACACTTAAGAAAAAATAAAGATTTCTTTCCTATGTGATGAACATATATATCAAAAAATAAATTTTTATTTCGCATTTATTTTTCCACATAATCTTAGAGTGTTCATTTGTTCCAATGTAATACGAGTTTTAAAATTGTTTCTGATAAAAACTCGTAAATAATTTTAACGGATCGATTTACACAGCAATCAGTGAATAAAAGTTGTTTGATTCAAAATTCATTGATAGCATTTACTCTATAATGAAATTACATTTTCATTATATACTCTTCCATTAAAACTTTTTCAGGCTTTATTGATTTTTACTGATCAATCGTGAAATAAAATTATTACTACTTTTTTTTTTTAAGTGTATCTTATTTTTGAAATTTTTTTGTGCTAATGGTTATACAAACACATGGTGTTCAACATCTTTCAGATAACTCAGATTCAATTATTCTCTAGTAAGAACATCCATTATATTATTTCTCATACTATAAATTTGCTATCTTTGAAATCTAATATCTTTGCAACAGATTCTTAAATTATAAATCTACACATAGGCTGTGTTGCGATATTCACTGCCAATACTGAAAATCTATAGTGTATGTGACGTAAACTATAGATTTTCAGTACTGGCAGTGAATATCAGAACACAGCCATATATACAATATACATACATACATACATATATACATTATAAAAGCATTTTGTCATGTATCCTGCATATATATTTCCAGATAATGAATTTTTTCTAAAGTATCAATGCATATTAGAATTGCAACGAATATTAGGCAACTATTCGGTATTCTGCAACGTTTTTACTATTCGGCCGAACACTGAATATTAGTCTACTATTCGGCCAAATATCGAATAATTTTAAATGTAAAACTGGGAGGAAATAGTAGCTAATAGATTGTTGCCAGCTCAGCCGCGGATGCGTAGTTTTAATATGCTCGAATATCTAACTTATTTATTTATATATCTAATAAAATAAAATAAAATAAAACACGTTTATTGTTACATAATGTATTTATGCGGGGTGGCACGGTCGGGAGTGCCGCTGCATTGTTTTCGAATAGTCTATGTTGAGTCGTTGGCATTAAAACCGTGCCTAATATTCGCCGAATATTCGGTTATTCGGCACATGATCTTGTCTAATATTCGGTATTCGGTCGAATATACTATTCGTTGCATCTCTAGTACATATATATAATACAAGACGCTACGTTCTATCATATACAAAGAATAAAAAAAATAAAATAAAGAATTATAATCAATTATACATATGTAATTCTTAATTAGCATATCTTTTGCATGTTTTTTAACATGTTAATCTTGCACAAACTTTTAATTATTTCAAAGTTTATGACAATGATGGAAAATATTATTTATAGTTACTGTTCATACCTTTTAAATGTATAAACAGTAGTGTATATCAAATTCGTCCAAGAATAGATATATGAGAGGATATTTAAAAAAAGCAGGGAATTTTGTATTATATAAACATTCCTATTAATGCACGATATTTGCATAATGCTTGACATGGAAAGTATTTTGTAAAGAAAAGTTACTTACAAATTAATTATTCTTTTGTTTGTCAGGTACTGTCTTAGTAACTTAAATTATATATAGGTTGTTCTCTCTCTACCATTACTGCATCAGTATTTAACAATTTGATCAAAGAATCTGTTAAGGATTGGTACAGTAATGAAGATATGGAAAATTTTATATATATAAACTATTATATAAAAAATTATATATATAAATTCTTTATGCTCATTAATGCTATTGCACTATATATAAGTGTATTTGATATCTAAATAAGATGCATTATAATACGCCAAATAGCGTCACTGAGTATTTTCTTATACGAGCTATTTTTTTAAATTTAAAAGATATACTGAAAACTTATAATATATATTACATGATAGAATATCGCATATTAAAGTTAACACATCTATAACAGGTATAAACATTATATGATATAATATTAACAATAATATTTATAATATATATTGTGTTATAAAAAAGCCAATTTATAACAATTTACAATCATGATTTGGAATTTTATATAGTGTGCTCAAAAGTTTAAATTCAAGTACACACATTCAACTACATTTCTCAAAAGGTATTTAAGAGCTGGCAGAATAATATAATGTTTACAATAACATGTTTAAAATATATATAGAGCATAATATTTTATATGAATTATTTAAGTGAGCTTTTTATTCCTGAAAATTAATATTAATAATTATATCAGGAATTGATAAAAAATATGTATTACATATTATGCTAACATTTATATATATGTAGGTTCATCCTAACATCAGTCAGTTATTTGTTATATTTATCTTGTTTTCTTTCTTTTCTCTTGTTTCTGTCTCTTGTTGTATCAAGTTTGTAATCTTAATCATTTCATCTGAAGATTTTAAATTAAGATCAAGTTTTCTTTATAAGAAAAAAAAATTCTCAAGACAATCTGGGAATGTCAACACTGCGTCTATCATAGACGAAACTATAAATATGATCGTTCGTCATTATATCTTATATTTTTATCTTTGTATCAAACAATGCACTCTTTATTATCAATCATAGGATCATGTTTAATTAAATGTTCTGGTGTAAGAATTATTGTTCCATTTAATTTACACGAGTCTTGCGGAAATTCGTTCGAAGGTAACTTTTCTTCCAGCTTCTTGTCGCATACGAATGTTTTAAATGTATCGGCGGGTGGCGTAGTGTTGGGAGGAGTCTCGGGAATCCCGATCGGATACATAAGTTCTTTTTTATCTCCGTTTGCTTGAATACATAGTTGATGATTCTCAAAGATTTTTCTTCCGACCATGCTACTCTTTCTAGGTAATTTGGTTTGATGCGGTAACGCGTATCTCAATTTATCCCAGAACCAAGGATCTCCCCATTTGACATAAGTATTCATACTTATGTATGCCTTCAATTCTGGATCCAAGTCATCCGTAGGACCGATATCGCCGTATAGAATCAATATCACTCGCGCTCGACCTTCGCTCAATGCCTGACTGTGAGCGGCTCGAAACTCCATCCTTCCCCAGACGCTCTCGAGAAAATTCGGTGACAATACTACTATCGTTCGTTTCGAATCTTCCACAGATCTAGCGATATTCGCTGGTATCCATTCGCCCGCCAACCAATCCCGATAATGAAGACATAGCTTGAATGGCGTCGGGCCGTTTTCCAATTTCGACACTAGTTCATTTACCACAAAGTCTTGATCCTTGTGCGAGTAGCTTACAAACGCATCGTATAATTTCTCCTTATCCAATTCCTCTTCCGTTACGAACCACAAACACCATTGATGCGCGAATAGCCACACTTTGATCTGTTGTTGATATTTGTAATAGAGTAGTCCCGAGATGCCAATAAGCAATCCGATCAGAGCGATCGCTACGCTGATGCCCATAATCGCTGTATTGTCAAACGGACAAAATTCGATCGTGGTCATCTCTGATATGGTCTTATCTTTCCCGGGACACTTCACTTTATGTAGATTAGGTATATCCACGAGTTTCGTTTGAATAAAATTTAGAAAGTCCTTAGTGTTGCAATCGCATATCCATGGATTTTTGTGTAACGTCAAGTTTAAATTCTTAGAGTTTTTCAAGAACTTTAACACATCAGGATGTATTGTTGACATGTTGTTATTATGTAGTTCCAAGACCTGAAACAGAGATTTCAATCGTACATCTTAATCGTATAAAACATAATATAATATTTTTTTATTACTTTATGTATACATAGTGATCCGAAAAAATGTCAAGATTCATTTCTGCGAATCTTTACATTCTTTTTGTATTTTATATATCCTTGAATTTTCCGATACTTTTTTTATGATTCTTTGTTGATAAAATGTTGTCTAGAGATTTACACACCTGTATTGTCTTGGGCAGTTCGTCTAAGAAGATCTCAGAGATGTTGTTGTGAGATAAAATAAGTTTTTTCACTGATTCAAGTTTTAAATTTTTCAAATCCGGCATTCGCGTAAATTGATTATTGGCGAAATTCAATTCGAGTTGCCAGAAATCGCCAGGATTTTTTATATCGCTCGGAACGCTAGTTAAATTTCTATGAGAGCAGTTGAATATGAATACATTGCCATCTGGCTTCACGTAACAGTCGCATATTTTGGGGCACTCGAGATTTGTGTCATTCACCGTGCACATTAATGATTCAGATTTTAACTTCTTAACGAGCACGTTCTTCAGCTCCTCTGGGCTTTGACAAGTTAAATTTCCAGGTATTATGTGGAAATAATTTTGAACGTTGGAATGCATTTTGCCTTCGATATATCGTAAAAAGTCATACAGCTCGCAATCGCAACTTAACGGATTGTTCTCCACTAATATTATCGCATCATGAAAAGCCTGTTGAAATTCTGCGATTTGTTCGGCACTATGCAAGAAGATGTGCTGTATTTTGTTGTAAGTTAAATCCACTTTGATATCGGATAAAAATTGCAAATCTTCGCTCTGCAATTAAAAAAGAAAAAAATCAAAGATGTGTATGTGTATTATTGTTTTCGAAAATCATTTTATAACTTTGTCAATCACATTTTTACCGCTTTCAAAATTGTGTGTGTGTGTGTTTGTGTGTAGAGAGGGGGGGGGGGGGGGCGCACAC